CCTTCCATGCTGATTTGATTCATCGCCTGAGAGATTATATCAAAGAAAGGCGGCTGGGAATGCTGACTGTTGATGTTCTATTTTTTCATGACAACGCCCTTCTCACTCCTCCCGACTTGCAGAGGCTGCTATGCGACAGTGTGGGTTTAGAAAGAGCTTCCTCGCCCTCCATACTCACCAGACCTGGTATCAAGTGATTTCCACCTTTGTCCCAAACTGAAAGAACACCTTGGTGGAAAGCCCTATGACGACAACGATGACGTCAATGCTGACTTGAAAGAGTTTTTCAGGAAGGCTTCAGACCCCGTTTACCGCATTATTCTTCCCCGCCCTTAAGCCGGGGAAGTATACGGGAAACGTTAAACTTGTAGCATGTGTGTCGACATGTTGGTTTATTTGAAATTTCAAGCCACGCATTTACGGAAAAAAAACATACCAATCATGTGCGTGGAATGTTGATGCGATTCTTTTCCAGCAATAAGAGATACTTCAAAATCGTCTTTATGTAGTTAATTGATGCATTTCGTTTCTGGTCATTAGCTGACATTATTAAACCATTCATGTGTAATCCGATGTCCTTTTTCCCTCAATGACTAATTTTCTGATTTTCACGGTGTATACAAAAGAAGAACTGTGCTCCGGAGATCGTAAATAACAGCATAATAAAAATTATGTTCTGAATATGCTTATTCATGAACAACGACGACATCTCAATTTAAATGTAATATGGCTGAATTCCACATTCTACATACCACACTTTTGATTGTTTGGAAGCTCATGTTCACTGGAAATATTTGGAATAGTTATATTCCGTATTTTGAATGAACCCAGTCCCCTGTGTTTTTTTTAATCCGCAAATACCGCAAGTCAAAGCAAAATCGGAGTAGTGTGTCGGAGAATTTGCATCAAGGCTGTAGTATTTTTCAACCGTTTAATCGAATTCAATGTACAGCCGTAGCTCTGGTCACTCATATATTTGTGTCCCATGGCTCAAATCTATTTGCGTCTGTACCGTGTTCCACTGACCTCGATAATCTGTTGGATGAAGGCACAGCTCTCTACAAGTCACATAGTTAACACCGAAGGCTATGAGGGGTATTTAGGTCATAATCAGCTCCCAGCAGCCACTGCCTCAAGCGATATTGTCTACACAACAGATCAGTTTTATGGCTCCGTCGCAGGTGCTCCAAAAATTGAAGCAGGGAAAACAAATTTCATAGAATCATTTCAACAAGCAATATTGATATCCCCGTCACTTTTGGTAACTTTTAATGATGTCTCCATTGCAATTTTTACGGATTTTGATTCGTATGCATTATTTGACTCTCATCAGCGGAATGGTTTGGGTCAGATTGATCCGAATGGACAAGCGGTTTTACTTCTGTTTAGTAGTAGCGATGAATTGTTATGTTACATCTTAACAGTATATCAGGCGACTATGCTTGTCGTAAGAGGCGACAAACGGGATCGGATGGTCAGGCTTTCGTTGATGCATGGCATCGATCCCAATTGCGTGGATCGATGCTCATGATATTAGGCACTGGATTGTCTGGTCCAGACTCGATTATTTACATAACGCCGTCACATAGCTGGGATATTGCTGAGTGCGGCTTTAAACGACAAACCAATCAATCATCATCATATGAACTCAAACCAGTCATTGTTACAAGTAAACCACATTCCACAACAGTTACTGACACTGGATAAAAAACAGTACATAGAAAAAATCCCAAGTAGCTCAACTCATCATGATCACAATTACTATTCTTTGAATGAAAGAAATACAAAAAAGAAACTGACCAAAAAACGTAAAACAAGAGACGAGGAATCTCCGTTATTGATTAGTCCCGGTATTGAAATGTTTTCCAACTACGTGATAATAGTTTGATAATATTTGTGCATCTGTGGTTGTGACAAAAAGACCTTATCTAGTATGACTGTTTTGCCATATGGAGTCCTTAGTATTTTCATTTACATTATTATAACCAAATGCCAAGTGTAAAAAGAATGTGATCTATTATTTGAGTATGTGCATCTGCCAATGTTGTTGGCAGTTTTGATTCTATTTCCACATGTTTACATTTGTGCCAGAAATTGCTTCTATTTCCTTCGATCTACTTTTTAAATAAAGACCCTGGTAAGAATAGGTCTTCAGCAACCTATGCTTGCCGTAAGAGGCGATTTGGTCGATGCATAACATCATATTCCAATTGCGTAGTTCGATGCTCTTGGTGTCAATCACAGGATGATCTGGCCCAGACTGGATTATTTACAGACCGCCGTCATATGGCTGGAATACTGCTGAGTGCGTCGTTAAACAAGAAACTATTTTTAAATAGACCTACCCTATGCAAATGTATCAACTGTATTGCCCAATACTCAAAATAAATAATATTTTTTTCCACAACACTGTTGTGTTATTTGTGGTTAATATAATTATGCTCCATCATGCCTTTCAGTAAAAGCATAATTATGCGTTTGTGAGGCATCACATATGGCGAGGAACTTTGATGCTCTGCATCAATGTTTTCTTGTAGGTACAGGGAATGGTTTTGTAAAAGTGAAGAGGGTAGAGGGTGTAGCTTAACATAGAGATTAATACTTAAACGTCCAAGTAACTCTCTTTAGTATGAAAGCTTAATGACAAAGACATGTATTTACTCATTATTTCTCTTGTATAGCTAGGGTATAATCAGTGTATATTGATTCGGGAAATGAATAACAAGCATGTCTATTTTTAAAGTAACACTTTCTAATGAAAGTTTATTTATTTCATCGAATCAATTTAAATAAAAATCAATATTTTAATCACATAAAAATTAATGAGGCATTTAGCAAACGAAATAAATGTTTTGTTGTTCACGATTTCTTTAAGGGAAATAAAAAAAGCAGAAGATTGTTTACAAAATCAATCATGGAAATCTAATCCCTTCGCCCGAATGCGTGAGCGTATTTGAACAGTGTTTCACTTATATCACGTTCGGCTCTTCAGTTTGATGTGAGAGGAGATACGTAAGTGATGCAGTTTTTTGTGATATGTTTACCAAAACGATCATTTAATTTTTTTTCAAGTATATGTTTTTTCTTGTTATAAATACATATCAGGAATTAATTGCACATCAACTTTGTATGTTTGTGTGCATATATAGGCGCGTCAATATTAATGATAAGGCAAATGGACAGTTTAGTCTATATTGACTATTACTCTGAACTAATGTGAAAATCTGTGTCGCTGGTTATTGTGGGCTGGGTTTTTTCCGACGTAAAGGTTGGAACCAATGTTTCCACCAATAAGTCAAAAGCCATGAAATGGAGTGCTTGGCGAGTTGGTTGGCTAATGGGATACACAACTGACGAGCGATGTGACTTGTGGTGTAATGGCGTCGCCATGGGACGAACATGGCGGGGAAACAGCAGCAGCGGTGGTGTTATTTGCCTGCAGTATGTTGCTCAATGCCCTACGCTGAGCAACAGAAGATGTGAGTATGTATTGCTTCAAGGATTGTTCGTTCCTATGACCAATGACAGACATAATTCATAGATCATCAACACCCGCCTCGGACAACTTTATCGTGTGTGGTTTCTGTGGTACGGACACAGTGGTTTGTGACTGCTTGGGGAAATCCTGCGGCATGGGAATTTGTTCACAAAATGTTTTTAAGACTCTTTACACCTAGGGACTGCTGAGAATATCACCAATTTCGGATTCGAAACGGGACGCGGAAAGAAAGCCTTTATTTAGTCGATTTTACGGGGCAAGTGTCACCATTATAATTATTTTGTTTGATTCGCCCGTGAATATTTCTCCTCACGATTGACAACGGCAATAATCTGTAATATCGGACACATTGTAAGAAACTATTTCACTGATCGATAATACTGATGTGGAAGAACCATCTTGCGTTACAGGAATGATACAACAATGCAACCTGTATATAACAGATCAAGTAGGGGGGGGGGGGGGGGGGGGGGGGGGGGGAGATTTGGACAGTGTCATGACGTCCACCGCTTAAGACGTTGATAAAAAAAGGGCTAAAGTACTGTTGACTCCTTTGATCTTTTGGCGGATGTATACGTATTTCATTTGACTAAATGCTACAATTGGACGATAATGTGAGTGATATTTGACAAATTTCAATATGACACACATCAGTCAGGTCTGGGAAATTTGTTCAACATGAAAAATAGGAATCTTGTGGTTATGGAACGCAGTGTGTGTTGTGGACACTATTAAATTAATCAACTGCACTCATTTTAAACTAGGGAGGGAGGGGCTTTAAGTCGGGGTTAGGTATGTGTGGAGTGTTTGGAAAGAAACGCTGGTATTATTACTCAATCCTCCGTTTTCGTGAGTATAGTATAAGTACAAAATGATCTACATGCAATAATACATCTCCGCATTATTATTGGTTTATGTGAATAGAAGATAACTGTAGCAACATATAAGTATTGCAAACATGTTGCTTGTGTTTATACATTTACTGTAAACAAATGTGCTTGAAAATTGGACTTAAAATATCATTACAAAATAATTATGTGAAGCTTAGAAGTGGTCATATGATAATTGTACATCTCGTCGATGGTAATCTTTTGACAGGTTCGTATGCTAGCTATTAAACGAATATATAAAATGTAAAACAACACATATAACGCCTTGCTTTCAATCCGTAGTTTTCTGGCTTATGCCATGCCGTTTCATCAGCTGCCTTTCCCTAAACTTTTCACTTAAAACGCTTTTTGTCAAAACTGCTCAGTTGATCTTTTTCCTGTGTGGGTATGGGTTTGAAAAGTTCTAAATTACCGCCGTGGCACCCATAAAAGAAGAGTCATTTGCCACCATTGACGTGGAAGTTGTAAAGGGAAAGTATCTGTGGAGCATATGTATTACTGTTTTTATGTAATTATACCTTGAGCTTACCTCTCCATGTAGATTGTGAAAACATTAAATAATCACACAAGATCAATGAATAATGTACACATTATATTGAAACACACAGGGTTATATCTATCTATCTATATCTATCTATCTATCTATATCTATATATATCTATCTCTCTCTCTCTCTCTCTCTCTCTCTCTCTCTCTATATATATATATATATAATGATATAGTACAATACAGTGGCATAAATGGGTGGCACCAGCAATAAATAACAATAACAGACCCTATTACACAAGCCGAATTACAAACCCGAGGGGTAGCTCTTCTGATTTGAGGTACAGACATGAGGGGTAGAAGACGTGCAAAAGAAATCGGCGAGTTAGCTGTAAGGTTCTTTGTAAGATGCACACCATACATGGCGTTTGTTGTTATTATACGTTGTATACAATACCAAGACGCTAATATGATTACAAAAAAACCGGCAACAGATGGGGTTACGTGTAAAATATATGCAGTTGTTCAAGCAGAGAGGCGTGACCGCACAAAAGAAGTTGTTAAAACAAAGGTCAATGGTGTGCAGAGGCGTCAAGGAAGCTGTTCAAAACGTCCTCCGACAGTAGAGTAGGGCGGGAGACTGTCAAACACGAACTGATCCGCAGGGTCTTCCAGCGTCTGAAAAACAAAGCATTTATATCATTACACCTCTTCATGACAAACATTATGCAGCTTGGGACACGAGCTGTTTCCTTATCATACACGCGTAGGTGAAAGCCGATATGTTACGAGTGGAGTATATTACTGTCAAATGCTGAGTAAATCCAGCTGATGACAGTTCATTTGCAGGATCGTTCAGTGCATGAAACAATAATTGGCAAAGACGATTGCCCATTTTACTTCCTTCAGATGACCAACGATCATATATTGTGAGTATTATATATCCGTATTTGATATAGCCGTGTTAGGGACCATCCGTAAAAGGATCAGATTAATTCCTTGCTTTACTCTTCTTTACGTTGACCACGTGAAATATTTGTTGAATGTTAGTTGTTAGAATATATTTTCGCAGTTCATCTTCTTAATCGTTTGATCATCATTATTCGATCTTGATTAAAACGGTATTTTATTATTACTATTTTACTTTCAAACTTCGTTGACTTCATTATTCAGTTGTGACCTCACGATAAGGACTATGACAACTGCTGATTACATCAACTTTGATATATAAGGTTCTCATATATTTGCCTAATATTCGCCAAACACGCAAGAGCGAACTTCTTATGCATACAGTACCAGATCTTCCACTTCCATTTTGCCAGAGTTTTCCAGGGGACGTTCAAAATCACCTGGAAATGAAATTTTCGTGAAGCATAACATCGACGTCAAAGTCTCAAGTGGGCACCGCACTGCACACCAATGACAGAACAGCTAGCGGAGAGTCCTATTTTCTGATGACAATAGGTTCAGAGCAGATGTAGAGTATGTGTGTAGCGTCGTCGTTAAGGACGCACCGGTCGTTGGTGTGATGACAGATGACAGTTTGGAGGCGAAAGCGTAATGATTTGGGCAGGAATTTGTGGTTAAGAAAAGACGGAGTCTTTTTTTGTCATGTCTGATATACAGCTCTCTCAGGTCTGATATAAAGAAAAGAAAGTCATCTATTGAGTTGACTGTGGTTAGCGTTGTTTTTACCTTGTCCTTTGTTTGGCAGTGAAGATGAGAGGGGGGATGGCTTTGTCCTGAAAAGCAGATATTAAGCATCAGTCACATTAAGAACAAAACGTGACATTTGTGTGTGTTTACTGCGAAAGATATATTCATAACAGTGTCGATCCCACTTTCTCTTCCGCAACAGTTTTTTTTATAAACGAGAAATCGACCCAAACCACATATTTTATTATTATATATAATATGATTATGAATATGATTATGATTATTATTACATATTAAAACCCAAATATGTTATCTGACATATGAATTACAGCTGTGTGTGATGGCAGCATCAATGTGATTCAGAACCTGCTCCCCACACAACATCATTTGAAGGTAATGGTGATGTTATCCATCTGATGGTTAAGGATACCTGTGAAAACACTTACGCCATCATACTCCTGGCATTAAGGAAGACCGCAACACCAATGGCTGTTCCCATTAGTCCACACAGAGTTGCTAGCGCTATCACCTCTGTGTTCAACCCCGGCTCACAGGTAGGAGCTGTTGGCAAAGTAGACAAGAACACGTTCTGCTCATGCTGGAGAACTACCTCAGGTGTACAATAAGAAGTGGACACGTTAATACTCTTCATTGTTGATACTTCTATTACTACAACTTACTACTACTACTACTACTACTACTACTACTACTACTACTACTACTACTACTACTGCTACTACCACTGATGATTTTTATCATTATAATAATGTTAATGATAACCCAAAGAATTGAACTCAAATACTGGGTATATAGAAAAGGATAAAAGAAGCAAGAGCAGTTTCTTTAACCTGGTGTTGTTGTGGTGGTGGTGGAGGTTGCTGTGGTGGCAGCGGTCGTGGATCCGCAGTAGTCGAACTTGACGTAGACGGTTGCCGTGTCATTCAGGTTACTGTTGCTGGTGGATATGGCTTCCACGACCACGAACTGTCGTAGATCAGTAATTGGTAAAGTTTCGGGCGCCTTCAGTAACGAAACATCGCCCGTCGATCCGTCCAAAGCAAACAAAGTACTACTGTCTGACAGAGAGAAGATACTAGCCCCAACAGTGCTGTCTGCGTCTCCAACCGTCACCTTAGCGACAACGTCGTTGACAACATTCGAACAACTAGCAGTTCCCGAGAACACATGTTCTGTGAACGTGGGACCGTTGTCGTCAACATCAGTCACTGTGACGCGGATTGTGCCGGTAACCTCTCTGCTTGACGAACCCCCATCTTTCGCCCGTACCTTCACGTTGTAATACGCTGACCCTCCCGTGTCGAGGTCTGCGTCGAGATGTACTGCAGTCGTGAGCGTTCCCTGATCCGTGTCCATTTTGAAGAGACCGGAGGCCATTGTTGACTCAGCTTAACAAATAAAAGTAAACAATCTGGAAGGAAGTGGTAATGTAAACCTGTATAAGGCACTAGTCCAGCAATGACCCTCACCATCAGCCAAGAAATAAAACAATGGCATTGTGCAATCAGCATTCATACACTTATTCGACCCGTGAAGATCCGGGGTAGGATAGGTCTTCAGCAACCCATGCTTGCCGTAAAAGGCGACTATGCTTGTCGTAAAAGGCGACTAACGGGAACGGGTGGTCAGGCTCGCTGACTTGGTTGATGCATGTCTTCGATCCCAATTGCGTGGACCGATGCTCATGATATCAATCACTTGATTGTCTGGTCCAGACTCGATTATTTACAGACCGCCGTCATATAGCTGGAATATTGCTGAGTGCGGCGTTAAGCAGCAAACCAACCAACCAATCATACACTTATTCATTAACAACGTGAGTGTATTTTCTACGTGCACTTGGTTTGATTATTTCATATTAAAACATTTTCGACTACATGGAAACATGAGTCCACAATACCGGAAGTGATGGAGATGATGTCGTAGGTGACATCGCCATCGACTCCTCCGTCCTGATCTGTTGCGCTGAACGTCTCAATAAGTGTCCCTGGGGCATCCGTTTCACTGATGCTCACTCCGGTAAACATCTCGCTACTGTCAGGAACGGGTGTATCCCAGACTGGTTCGAACTCATTGTCACCAACAACCTTAAATAGTGAGAATGTAGTCAGTTCATTTGGGAAGTGTTGTCACACATTGTATCCATACTCAGCAATCACACTGATCATGCTATTTCCATTAGAGTAAACTACAAGCATATCGGCGCTAACGTAGGAGATATTATTTCAGCGATTTATAGTGTGCACCGACCTGGATCTGTACAACCGTCACCCCTGTCTTGGCCGTCGCGGAATCCGCAGAATCTACGCACAGGACAGTGATACTGTAGGACGCAGTAGCCTCGTAGTCCATGAGGCTACCATCAGCATAAAAGTCAGACCCGGTTAGGGAGAAAATACCATCAGGGTTGTCGGCAGCAGTAATTGAGAGAGAAACTTCACCATTGATGCCCGAGTCGTCATCAGTACAAGGCAGCTGGAGTAGTTTTGCTGACAAATTTAAAACAAAGTGGTATTTACCCTTACAGGCCAGTTAAACATGTATACATCAATATTGTTTTTATCTGTTCACCATAAATACTACGAGACATTTGAAAAAAACCCATATAATTTATCTCGTTTTTATTGAGTTAGCCTGTATAATCACAATTGGCGCTGTTTTCAGTTGCCTGGGCAGTGTATACAGCCTGAGAGAACATCGGGGTCAGGTCGTTGATGTCAGTAATGTCGAGTCTGAAGGTGGCTGTGTCAGTGAGGCCAGCAGAGTCGGTAACTGTGAGGAGCAGGTCGTCCAAATAAGCCAATCCCCCGTCACGGTCAATGTTGCTGAGTATGTACAGGTGGCCGGTCGTCTCGTTGATCTCCAGGACACTACTGTGGGAGCCTGGCAGGAACAAGAAGTTGAGCACGTACACTCTGCATATCTACAACAACATACTGAGGGGCAAACACATGTGTTTAATAAATGATCACTGCATGACAATACCGCCAGCAATGCTTCTGTTTTACATGTGAAGAATCATGATCATGAGTGAGGAATTCATGGACAGCGAGTAAATGGTCGCAATCGGGACTATATTACATTTATCACACGACGGTCTGAAGGCAATATAGTATTTATCTGACCACTTCGTGGTTTCAATGAGCATATATGATTTGTTACAATAAGTTTGCAATGATTTTACGCGTACATAACCTATTAAAATCAGCTATGGTAAAAATGAACCAGCCCAAGTCCTTGTTTTGAGAAAAAGCTTCATGAAAAACCTCTGCTTCTACTACTATTGCACACTGCCACACTTCTACGACAATACTACTACATAAATGCTGCTGCTACTACTACTACTACTACTACTACTACTACTGCTACTAGTTGACTAGTTTTACATATTAATCTGTGATATTCTAGTAATTTTACTGTCCTTTGTCGACAGATTGTAATGTCTATATTTATGTATTATTAATGTACAACTTGATTTAGTCACGATATAGCTGAAATATTGCCGATGTGACTATAAATCCTAACTCACTCACTCACTACTACTACTACTATACTTTAATAGTAATACTAAACTACTACTACTACTACTACTACATTACGAGTACAATACTACTACTACTACTACGACTACTACTACTACAACTGTCCATCTTCGTGGTCTAGAAGATAGAGCTTCTGCCCAGATAGCATAGGGTCGGGGCTTCGATCCCGGGCCGCGTCATACCAAACGACGTTTTAAAAAATGTACTTGTTCCCCTGCCTGGCGCTCGGTGTTAAGGTGATAAAACAAGCACTGATCAGCTCGGCATCACTCTTACGTAGTGGGGTATCTATGCGAAACTGCGGCGTGGTTTTCTCAATGGGCTGGAACTATTAAACTGGCTTGTGCAAGCACATACACACACACGTAATCTTTAAAGCCCATTTCCCCTCTACACCACCACACAACTACCACAAGTATTGCACTGTGACGGTCTGGTTTTGCAACCTGAGAGGCTGTATGTGAAGGTATCGGTTGTGTCTGGGTCAGTGACACTGAAGACATCCCCGATGATGACCCCTGGGGGAAGCTCTTCTGCCACCGTTACCCCGACGTACACAGACAGTACCGGGGGTTCGTCACTGACATCCGTCACTTCAATGGTCACGAAGTGATCTGTGGTGAGCACGCCATCAGATGCCCTGTCAGTGGAAGAATAAGCGTTGCGATAATGTGTGTATGTATCACACGTAAAAATACTGTTTAATATATGGCCGACATTCTTGTGTAAGAAATAGAGAATCTCACCCGAGTGTCTTTTGATATCAAATATATCAACACGAGTTGATAAAAGTGGAAAAATTCCGGGGCTTGCCGAGGATTTTTGCCACTTTTATCAACGAGTGTTGATATATTTGATATCAAAAGACACGAGGGTGAGATTTTATTTATCATCCATCATTCTTTCAACTTTTTCAATTTGTAGACAGTAATTAGCAGTGTCTTCAGTGTAAAAAGTATTGCAAACAGCTTCAGTAGCAGAGCCATTAGTGATGTCATTTGATTGTGACGTCATGGTAACCAGTGACGTCACAATGGTCTGCAAAGCATTGTGATCCAATTTCATTGCAGCGATATCTACAGTGTAGATATCGCTTGATCTCATCCAAGCAATATCTCCTGTGGGAGCCAGTTTTGGATGATAAATCTATATTATGCACAACCTCTCTAAGGATATTAATAAAATGCACAAGCTTGAAAAATTTTAACCCGCATTTAAATAATGATGACTCCCTGAATAGAATCCGACATTTAATGAACAGGGGGGTTAAATGTGGTATTTCTCACAATTTTCACGTCGATTATCTGTACATTTTTCTCCCAATACCGATTGCCATATCTCACCCACGTTTGGATGCAATCGTTCGAACATGGAGTATACTTGTGTTGCCTAGCTATATCTCACCCACGTTTGGATGCGATCGTTCGACTATGGATTATATTTGTGTTGCCTAGCTAAATCTATGGCGAATAACTCACTGGACACTTCCCTCTCAATAATAACAAGTTGGGAGCGCATGTTCGAATCTCCAGAAATGACGTCATGACAGATCTATGTTTTATCGTGAAATAAGCCACGCTTCGTTCTTTACTGTTCTTTGCAATTCATTGCGTGGCTATCATATATAAATATTCAGGTGTATATTTTACAAACCGAATATTTTGGTCAATTCGTAAAAAGCTTAGTTTCAGACGTATTTGGCTTACTAATAAATTAACGCTCTAGACAATCTATCTTACATCTCCTTTTTTATTTAGGGGTATATTTTGTTATAAATAATATATTTGATATTGTCATATAGGGCAAAGGTTTGGGGAAATAATTCTTTTGGTACGATAGGGACATAACACCTCTACGTGCCTTCATGAATTGTTTGGGTGCATGGCTAAAATGATTAAACATGCCATCTTTTGGACTACCTGAGAAATGCTATAATAAGTTGTTGTTTAATGATAACAACAGAAAACTCTAATTGTGCAACAGATTTAAAACAAACAAGTGCTGTTAAGGATTGGTTATGGTTATGTTTGGTGTGTGAACAATATGTGGAATCGCATTCTTTATTTATTAGATATTTTACACAAAGTTTCGGTGATGTTTTGAAAACACTGTTTCTACTGTGTTTATGTGAAGTCATTTCGAATTTCATTGTCAAGTTTCGATTCTCGTCTCAAGATCTATTTATTGAATCTGGTAGATATACAGGTATCCAAACGAGAAGAAACATTCTGTCTGCTTATCTAACAAAATAAAGTAGAAGACGAGTGTAATTTTGTTCTCGAGTTTCTAATCTAAACTAGTGTCCAAAAGAAACGATACCACCTGTTTGCAACGACATAAAAGAAAAACTAAACAATGCAGAAGTTTAGGATTGGTGTTATGCTTTTGAGAAATCCTTTCACAACATCTGTACAAAAATTTCATTTCAATAAAATCTGTACAACCAATATGACAAGCCTTTAAAGATGGGTGGGGTCGAAAAATGAACATTTCGTTAGAGCACTGATCACAGAAACAACGGGAAATGTCACACCACACGTCTCAAAGTTAAGTCAGTAGCGGCTATGTCCACCGTGAGCATCAATACATGCCAGAACACGCCTACGGACTGATGACGTCAAACGTCTGATGACGTTGGGAGTGATGCGTTGCCATTCCTCGAGGAGACATCGTTCCAAGTCCTGGACGTTGACTGGAGGCCCACGGCGACGTCGGATTTGCCGATCGAGGTGGTCCCATAAGTGCTCGATGGGATTCATGTCCGGTGAACATGCGGGCCATGGCAAAACCTGTATGTTGGCGTTGGCAAGGAAGTTCTGTGTCAATCTTGCTGTGTGTGGCCTTGCACTGTCATGTTGGAAAACGAGTCCACGAGGCTGTTGCTGAATAAAGGGCACCACAACAGGCCGTAGGATGTCATCAAGATAACGCTGTGCATTCAGGTTTCCACGAATTACGTCAAGCATCGTTTTGACGTCACCACATATGCCACCCCAAACCATTAACCCTCCACCTCCAAACGGCCGGACCTGTTGGATACAGTTAGGCGCCAAACGTTCACCAAATCGTCGATATACAAGCTGCCGTCCATCGTTTCTGAAGATGAGGAATCTGCTCTCATCAGAGAACAACACGTGCCCAGTCCCGCCGTTGCCAACGTCGAACTCGCCTGGCCCAGATCAGTCTGTTGTTCCGGTGTCGAGGCGTCAGGAGCGGTCCGCGGTAGGGATGACGTGGCCGGATACCATACTGCCGTAGTCTCCTGTAGACGGTCTGTCGACTGATCCTGTGTCCCAGTGCTGTAGCCGCCGTGGACGTCGCTGTTACGGTGCGGTTCCTCAGGTGTAATACCCGGATGTAACGATCTTCACGGGGCGTGGTTACTCGTGGTCTTCCACTCCTGGGCCTGTCTGACGTCTGACCTGTCTGACGTAACCGCTGCATCAACCTGGTGATAGTGATGCGTGCGCAGCCCAACCTTCTGGCGACGTCGACGTGTGACGCTCCTTGTTGGACCATTCCAACGGCTCTATCTCTCTCGATGGCTGTCAAACGTGGCATATCTTGTGTTCTTTTGTTGCTGAGATATCAACGTGTCTGATCAGCCGTTTTATACAGTTTTTCTGCACGTGCAGAACATGCTAGAGAGGGAAATGTCACTTTCACGAAATTTACGTTTTTTCCCGGAAGTGATCACGTGTTCCCGGTATTTTTTATCGACTATGCTGTGTTTGGGATGTGCAATACGAATTGGCATGTTTTCATACTTGACAATTCACTTAGTAAAAAACAATTTTGAAAATAAGTTGGTATCGTTTCTTTTGGACACTAGTATATTTAATGCCAAATAGATACTAGTACTTTGATAAATAACATTTTGTAGATCCAAATACCCTTAACTATAAGCCATTGTTAAGCAATGCAGGTGCATTAAATTTACGTTATTGTCAAAGTTTATGTATTATGCAATTATCAGAAAAGAACCTCATTTCGTAGTGAAAAGCCTCATAATCAAACGAATGTGGTATGTACTACAGTCCTTTTGCCTCACAAGTGCAGACCTTGATTAATACACATACACGTCGGAGGGTATGAATTTTAAGTATACTTATCAGTAACTGGTTTAACATTTACACATAATAATTTACAGAATTCTCAAGAATCCAATCACATGGATACAAATAAAAAAAACGATTTCTGGAAAATAGCGGCGTTATGACTCAATTCGCATTTGTCACTGACCAATAACGACTTACCTTACTTGTACAGAAAAACACTTTTCCGTCTCATAATCAAGTTTATCACTGGTCAGAATGTTCGCCCCATCGCCCTCAAACAGGCTTGACCATGTACCGACAACAGTCAATGTCGGAGTGTCAACGTCGACGTCGTCTAACGTCAGGGTTAGGACGGTGTAACCGGTTGTGACGTCCTCAGGAACAGTCGCTTTAAACTCAGTGTCAGAGAAGTTTGGGGCGTTGTCATTAACCGCGTTGACTGTCACCTTGAGTGTTCCTTGGACTTCCAGTGGCGTGGTGTTACCGTCCACAGCCTTCACAGCAACGTCGTAGTATATCACGCCTCCTGTCAAGGAGTCAGCGTCCAGCAGTGTAGCAATGATGAGGTCTCCGGTTCCAGGGTCTAGCCAGAATTTGTCCAATACCGAAGCACCAGTATCTGGAAAATGTAACCGTAAGTTGTCTGTGGATTCGGAGTCGAAGGAGAGATTGCAACATGTTATGCATATTCATTGTGTGTTATTCAATAACTGCAACTGTAATTGCAGAATTCACAACAGCTCGGTAGGATGTGTGCAAAGACGAATTTGTACCTGAAGTAACCGAGACAAGCTCAAAGCTGACTTGTCCATCCAGCCCTTGGTCGTCGTCATCAGCCACCAAAGTCGTCACGGTCGTCCCTACGACTGCGTCCTCAGATACCGCCACCCCTAGAAGGCTACCGGTACCGTCCAGGGACACACTGCCCCACGCGGGGGTATGCTCGTTCTTTCCCGTCACCTTGTGATAGAAATACCCTACACATATATAGTATAGGTCAACATGTTTTGTTATCCACACCTTCCGTCAGAAGATGCATCGATATGAAAGTTGGCCGAGTTAGCATCAACGTCGCACGAGAACGTACACGTAAGTGGTATACAGGAAAGACCAACATTAGTCTTTTGATGAATGGTACAGGTGAATAACCTATCAACTGATTAAAATTGTTTCAGTCACAATTCCTTTGGTTTAACCAATGTGACACTACAATACACTATGTATAAACATATGTTGATCAAAGGTTTATCGACAATGGTTACATGGCACTCGTTCGAGCACTGCACTGTCCGGCTCCCTGGATTCATCGTGGACTATGTATATTCTCTGTGTAAATTCATTTGCTATACGGTAGTATTATGAGCAGGTGACTATAAGACAAGTTGAAGCAGCCGTTCTTTGGTGCTACTTAGGAGAATGTCACAGTGTAAAGACGATAATAGCGCCGCTACATTACACTACCGTCATCACCTGACCGTGAAAGCCAATGAGTCAGAACAACATAGAAGCGCAAACCAGAATGGATGCGTGCATTGCCGAAAACCCCGGACGAAGATATCGACGATGTCGTTATATCTAGGCGTACTAGAACAGAGCGTAGTTCAGACTTACTTTGAAAAATTGACAGATTGTCAGCTATGTGGGAGGAAAGCATTTAGCGAAAAGAAACGTTGCTGTCACTAACGAAGATTAAACGTAAATCGGAGACAATTATTCAAAGCGAGCAAGAGACTCGATAGTGCACTTGCCTATCATGATAGGATATATGTCAGGAGAAATATGACATCAAGAGGACATGGGCGTATTCATGTTGTGCAGCGACTTCCTTATCTTGACAATTTCAATATGGAAAGATTTTCCTCGTACCATGTGTCGTATACTAAATATGATATAGTATGCATAATCGGTAACATAATGATTCTAAGTGATACAGCACTCTACACAAAACTGTATGACAAGAGAGATGACTTTAACTTTCCCCATATGTCGAGTATTATTCCAGTAGCTCCAGCGTTTGGTGTCTACATTTCTGGCATGCTCTTTCTACGAAGATTACAAAGAGCGTCACACGACAAGTTAGATCAATGTTACAACACCTAAGGCCCCAGTAAAGCAGAGGGTTAATGGTTGACATGTGGAGGACATTTCCAAATTTGACGCACCGGAGACAAAAATCGTGTCCGATGTCCTATTATGACTTGTACGACATGTTCCCGTATATTTTTCAGATGAACAATTGGCTTGTTTTTTTATGTGTTTGTGACAGGATGCGCTAACCTTTTCGCGAACACCTGGGATTAACACTGTGATAGGGATTCATAAACCTATACTCATGAAATGTGTATGGGCAGATTTTTCGATACTGACTATTCTCTGGCGTTGACGTTGTGAACAATAAAAGAAACTTTTCTCTAAGGTCGAACATAAAATATTTAGAACTAAAAGATTTGATTAAGACATTATTGTAAATGCTATGTTTTTCAGTGCTATCCCACTGTTGTTTATTTATTTATTTATTTATTGGTGTAACTATATTGTTTGGAAATGTAGACCAAAAGACCCCGATCAGTCATAGTCCTTTTTGTTTATACTACTGACTTCAGCGGTTAAGATGTTTACCTTTTTTGTGTACATAACAGCCTTCTCCACTCCAGCGTAACTCCCAATCTACCAGATCTACTCAACTGTATAAACATTGCCTCATATGCCAGTGTATATGCCTGTCAACCTTACTCTGCACATCTCTTTCTTGATAACGTTGTTAGAACCTACACCTAAACGTCGCTCCTAATTTTGATAAAGAAGTTGTTCATCCATATATCTTATCCTTGCTTATCATTCAGATACGTGCTACTTCTATGTATCAAAAATATGTTCAGGCATTTTTATTTTCAAATGATCGTAACTCTCCGTAAACATTCATGCAAATGTTTTTTTTGAAAATGCATTTCCTTTAGAAAAAAAACAAATCTATATCTCAGAATTACAAATATATCTACATTCTTTTTTCAAGTCTGTCATCTATTAGCTAAGGTGTTATTAATGAAAATAAATGAAGAACATGCTCGGCCCGCCTCACCTTGACAATCACTAGAATGTGGCCTGTGTTGGCTGACGTGGCTGTTGGTTCGTCAGTAACGGCAACTGAGAGGTAGTATTTGTACCCCGTTGCCCCAAGACTCTCGTAGTCGATGCTGTCGGCAGCACCCCATAACTCCAACCCGTCATAGCGGAACACCCCGTCTGGATCCCCCCCTGCAACTGTCAAAGTTACTGTGCCCGTCTCCACGTCAATGCAGCTGATGGCGTCCATTAGTTTTGCGTCGGCTGATGTAAAAAACTCACATATAGAGAGCTGCTCTTGTACATTAAACTTATGAGCACTTGTCTCCAGTTGTAAACCTGTTGTCTCCTGGGATATTTGTTCAGAAAAGAAAAGATGGAAACATGCATGAACACGTTTTGTACGACAGAAATATGACACCATAACGCATTTGCTTATAATTTTTCAACAATTCAAACACGTTAAGCCTGTGCGTCCATATGTGCAGTGGTGATAATAATGACGTGGCATATACATTGTATCTGCATATTTGCATCCAACGAAAGACAGTTTACCGCCTTCTCAAGGACATAAATATTGATTCATTTCGTTTCACTTTGTTTTGCTCAGCGTAACATTAATGGAGCAAATATGTACTATTGACTATACTATGGACTGTGCATGTAGCTCCTATTGGTCCTGCCATACCTCCCGATGCTTCCTCCAACTCCAGCTCATACACCTCCTTGTCACACGATGGGGTGTGGTCGTTCACGTCGATTACCGTTATGGCCAGAGTCTCCGTAACGGCATGGCCTGAAGCATCTGTCGCCGTCAGATCAATACTCAAGTTCGAAATGCCAGCCTCGAGGTCAACACGCTTCGCAACTTTAAGATCTCCACTGGCACTTATGGTAAAGTAGCTGGCATCTGTACCTGTGAAAGACCGACAGCGCGGGTCATTATGAAAATAATGTCATGGCACTATAGCTCACCTGAATATTTAGTCAACATTTCACAATGTCAAAAAGACAACCACAAATAAAAACCGTTGCTGTCAGCATTGGCATTTAATATATGTTCTGCATACATACTGGGAACTAAACACTAACACCTTATATGATGTCACCACAAGGAGACTAATATAAGTCAAAGTTCAGTTTCAATGGCCTGGCAATTTTAGGGGTTCTGACACAGAGCAAATATGCATTTTGGGACAATTTAAGAACATTGTTAAATTAACGACGTCAAAAGTTTAAATATTTGTTGAATACATACAAGAGACTAAACAAATACATACATACGTTTTGAACACAACTGACTGAACAATAAGACTTCTAAGCTTTCAGTAGGACCGAAGTGCAATGGTCAAATCAAGATCATAATTCTAAAATTCGCAAAAAATATATGTTGAACCCTGGTTGAATAATTATAATGGTCATAAATATATATTTTTAATTAGGCATCTGTTCGATCCTCTTGAACATATTCAGGTGTCATGGTTGGGAACAATCATGTGAAGTTAATTGGTCCAGTGGTTTCTCAGGAGAACTCTAAGCTGAACAAACGTGTGATATACCTACGAGATAAATATCCCGTGACGCACAACGTTACCTGTAGCTTAGAAGGCGCTTAATTTCGAACCGAAAGCGTATCCCAGCCCTAATGTGAAAATACAGCATGTTTATTAATAATCTATCATGGAAGGATAAACTGCTAATGTGCGAGGCTGCATGGGTTATGTCTAATGTTTTAGAGAAGGTTGTTGCTTTGAATTTAGGAATCACCAATACACGTTTAAGTTCTCAAATGCAAAATCAGCAATACTATGATGGCATAACGACTATGTGACATCAAAATCCGGGATGTCAAGCTCGCCATCGTCCCAAAACATTGCATAACACTGTCTACTGTATGTCCGAATTGAACTGCCATGTACATTTGAAAAGTGAAAAAATTCGATAGAAGTACCGTCCAGTAAATATAAGCTTCCACTGTGAAAAGGCTCTCAATAAGCAGTTTCTGCCAGAGGCTGTTATTGTGATTTGAAACCTCCATTTGACCAACAGGAATAGATTTTTCATTTTTTTATTCGAAAGTGATATAACTGAAACGTTACTAAGTGTGACGTATAATTCGTTTTTCGAATCCAGACAGCGGGTACGGCAACAGCCAGATCAGGGACAACTGCACCTACCACCGTGAGAATACACAACTGTATCGCCGACGTCAGGATCAGAGGCAGTGTACAAGCCATACAACACTGTTCCCACTGCCGTTTCCTCCACCATGCTCGGACTGCTTATCTTGGTAATGGTTGGGGACTCGTCATTGACGTCGCTGACCTTGATCGTCACAGAAATATCGCTGCTCCAGGTACCGTCACTGGCGCTGAAATATCCACACCAAATGTTTTGTTCATTCATTAGGCCGGTACTCTATAATCAAGATCTGCACAAATATATTGTGATACAATAATATTGTATTTGATTTTATGTAATTGCAATACCTTATGTCCAGATAGTAGCATGTCTGAGTTTCAAAGTCTAGAGTAGCAAGAACGACGATGTTGTTGCCATTAATGCCAAACACAGTATCGTCTCCGCCACTTGCTGACAATGTAACGCTTTCACCGTCGGCGTCTGTGACCGTCATTTCAATAACGATGTCGTTCATACTGGCGTCTTCACTGACAAACACTTCGAAGTCAGTGTTATTGAAAACAGGCGCATTGTCGTTGACGCCACCAAGTTGTATTTTTTGTGTAGCTTGGATTTCTTGGGGCGTGGCACCATTATCCACCGCTTTGACCACCACGCTGTAGTAGGCCACGCCGCCTGTGTCGGTGTCGGCGTCGAGAGATCCTGACAGAATCAGAATCCCGCTCACGCCATCGATCTGGAACATATTTGGCTCACTAGCTCCAGTAGCTGAAAACAGACGTGTACAAGAGTGAGTGAGTGAAAGTTAGTTTACACTGCCGTCATCAATACCACAGCGACATCACCGAGCGTGGAATCAAGAGGCAAGGGACCAGGCCGCGATCATGGTTCATAGTATACAATATTTGATTCATCAGTGTATATATATATATATATATATATATATTACTAAGTATAACATTGCAACTTCATGTTTTTTTCTGCTTTAAGTTTATGCTGTACACCCCCTGAAGCTCGTCTGACAGTATTTAATTTACCTGATGTAACTGAGACGATCTCATAATGCACGTCACCGTCGACGCCGTGGTCGTCGTCTGAAGCTACGAAGGTGAGGAGAGTTGACCCTGGTACGGTATTCTCAGATACTGTCTCATCTGGAAAGTGTGCCGATCCATCTGGCACTGGTGATGTGAAGATGGGGGCAAATTCATTCTTACCTGTTATCTAAAAGATCAAAATCAGTTGATGCAAATATATGAAAGAACTCCTTTACCGTACATACTCTACAGTTGATGAGATCTCTAGGATCAAATGTCAAGATCAGCCTGACTGACTTATCACTGCATTCACAGAACAGCTCCCAATTATCTCCAAGATCTGATCTAAGGCGATAGTCCTGTTTGTGCACCAAGTGACTAGCTCCAGCTCAACATCTCCTCTCACAAACTCAAGTCTGTTGGTTTTCGATGCCGCTGATCACTATGCAACTCTCTTCCACTCAGCCTCAAATCAGCTCTTGCTCCGGAGACGTTACAACTGACTATTCATTCAAGTATTTCTCTCTTTTTTTTGTACATATATATTGTGTGTTTTATATCTTCTGTATACACCCCGAGCATGCTACTTCGAGGTGTGGAGGTATGTCGCCATATTATTATTATTATTATTATTATTATTATTATTATTATTAAATCTCTCGTGTGTAGGATTGTTGGAGAGAAAAGGAGAGAAAAGAGCGATGTCAGGCCGGGACTTACTCTGGATTCACATATCAACATAAATCTGCAAGATACACAGGTACAACCATCGCAACATTGCCAACATCAGACATTGTCACACAAAAGAAGCACTCATCTCCTTGTGAAATTATTAATAATCTTGACTACTGCAATAGCCTTTTTATCAACATCCTAAAGACTTCTCAGTAAAGTTCAGTCTAATCTAAATACAGCAGCCCGGTATCCCGGAATAGCTAACATTGATATATTGCACAAACTGTGAAACAGCTGCACTGGATGCTGCTTCAGGCTAGCATAGAGTATAACATCTCTCACACTTGCCAGCGCTATACGAATACAACACCTGAGTATATCTCTAAACTCTAGGAGATATATACTCCTTAAAGATCTCTCCATTCTGACAAGCAAAAAAAACCATCTGCTTGAATTCCATGCAACCGGACTAAGATAATTTGGTCAGAGATCTTTCCTGTTTTAGATCGCCACGATATGGAACCACCTGTCTCTAGAACTGTCACCCACCCTTCCATCTTTCAAGAGTGGACTGACAAGACACATGTCAGGAAATACAACGAGCTAACATGAATTGTGTTCTTTACATCATGCATCAGTTTTATCAACTCTGGAGCGCTATGAACATTGACTTGAATGTAATTTGACGCAATACAAATGCCCTTACGTAATAGTATTAATAATAATACATTCCACAGTTTTCTTAAACGAGCCAAGGATGTGGGACATAATCTCAATGTCAGTGTTAATTTTGTTGATGGTTCTGTACTGCTGGACGGTACAGAAATGAGTGTCAACCAAGCGCCATATCAAATTGGCCCAGACACAGTTTTTCAAAGAGAGGTTATCTGAACGACCACTGCATCAAGCAACACTGCAGACTCCTTCTCTTGGATGAAGTCGTCTGGCCTGAAAAATGAAACAGAAGGCTTTCTGTTTGCTGCTCAGGACCAGTCACTTCCCACTCGAAACCGTCAATGTGTGATTTTGCATCAACATGTAAATATGAAATGTAGATCATGCAATGAATTTAGTGAGACTGTCCAACACATTGTCAGTGGATGCCCAGCTTTGGCACAAACACAATATCTGAAGCGGTGTAGCTCGATCATTTTATTACCGTCTTCGCCATGCTTGTGGTTTTGACAGGTCCATCCATGGTACGGCCCGGAATATGTAGAGGGCGTCATGGAAAATGATAAATACACAAAATTCTTTAGAATAGGCCCGTTTACAGCCTCAGACGTATCCAGGCCAACAAACCTGAGCATGTCTTTTTTGATAAATCCAATGAAATAATTTATATCATTGAATTTTCGGTCCCTTTTGACACTAATGTAATTGACAAGATTCAGGAAAAACATGGCATGTAAGTGGACCTCGCTTTCGAAATATCACGCTTGAATCCCAAGTACCAAGTTGTCCGACTCCCCATTGTTCTCGGTGCTTTAGGTTTGTTACCCCCCAATCTGTTGACTGACATTTGGAGAGTACCCGGGTTTGCTACCAGGAATACAGCCCTTCTGCCAATTTGGGTAATGCAAAAGGCTGCAGTGTTAGGGAGTATTCGCATTCTCCGAAACGTTCTGGGTGGGTTTGACTAGGCAGAGCTTCCTGGGAGAAGTCCAATTCGCTGTCTGGGCTGCGTGTGGAGGGGGCAAGGTCTCTGAGCTGATGATGAGCCTAACCAGCATGACTATCACTCAAACCCTCTTTGCTGCATTTTAATTTAATGTGCACATAGGATCCAACCTATAATAAAATGTCCGCAAGTATTCATTTGTAGAAATTCTAAAATTATTACTTTTAACCATTCTTATGCATACGTTTATGCAAAAATGACCTCAAATGAAATGATTCACAATCTCACTCCTTTTTTTCACAAAGACAACAGTACAAACGTAAGGATAAGGCCGCCGTTACAAACTGTCGTGGCACTGGGCAGCCACCTTCGACCCTCGGCTCTGCATATAGCCTTGCACCATGTTGTGTTGAAAGTGGACGGTTAAGAAATAAAGTTTGCCCTACGCCGATATGTAGCCCAATGCATTATAGTTTTGCCCTGAGGATAGAGTAAACGTTATTACCTGTCTATGATGCCGTATTTTAAGACCAACTTGTTTTTTATTGGAGATCAGTTTAAAATGAAATTGTTGATAACCGCTGCGGGAAATTGAAACTCCTCCAACAGGACTAATTGATGGGCTGTTCCACTTAATTGCCTGTACCCTTACATCACTAAACTGGGTAGTTTATAGTAACTAAATCACATTTTATTATCCGTCCAGTGTGTGATTATCCAAACCCCATGCAGCAAGAAGAAGGTGAAAATTTGTCTCTGTACGTGACTCGAAACATTTCACAAGTGCATAGTGGGGCCGAGAAAACACATATAAACATGGCTGAAGTTTGGTGTCGCTGGTTATCGTGAGTTTAGGTGTTTTATGTCTTAAACGTGGCAACGTTGTTACCACTACTAATGTTAGCAGACTTGCAGGCACGAAGTGGTGTGCTTATCGAGATGGTTGCACTAAATGATACCGTAACCAACTTGAATCGAAGGCCTTGGGGGTGATTATGGCGTAGCCGTGAGACGAACATGGCGGAGATAGAGCAACAACGGTCGTTTTGGTTTGACTGCATTATGCTCTACGTCTTGCAAAAGGTGAACATATGGCTATGAAACTACTCAAGGATTGCTCATGCCTGTGTCCAGAGACAGCCATAAACTCCTAGGGCACCAACGCCCGCCAACTTTGTGGCTGCTGTGGTTTAAACGTTGGGCTCACCCTGCATCATGAGGGATGGCTGACATCATCTTGCAATATTTCTTCCTAGAAAATAATATTCAATTATTCAACTAAACTAATGTCCAAAAGAAACGATACCACGTGTTTGAAAGGACATTACAAAAAAACTAAACGATACAGACATTTCAAATTGGTATATGACTTGTGAGTAATGTTTTCACAGTATGTGTACACAAATTCATTGTAATCAATCCTTTACAATCATGAGGACAGACATGTAAAGACGCGGGGGGTCCAAAATGAAAATTTCATTTGAACACAGTTGATGAGTCAAGTGTGGAAAATGTCACAACACACGTCTCAAAGTCACGTTAGTACCGGGTATGTCCACCGTGAGCGTCAATACACGCTAGTACACGTCTACGGGCTGATGACGTTGTGGGGAGGGGGGGGGGGGGGGGGGGGGGGGGGGGGGGGTGCGTTGCCATTCATGGAGGAGGCATTGTTCCAATTCCTGGAGGTTAACTGGAGGCACAGGGCGATTCCTGACTTTGCGGCCGAGAATGTCCCACATGTGTTCGATTGGGTTCATGTCCGGTGAACATGCCGGCCATGGTAAAACGTGAATGTTGGCGTTTGCTAGGAAGTTCTGGGTCAGCCATGCCGTGTGAGGCCTCGCATTATCGTGCTGGAAAATGATACCATTAGGCTGTTGTTGGATGAATGGCACCACAACTGGTTGTAAGATGTCATCACGATAACGCTGCGCATTCAGGTTTCCTCGAATAACGACGAGTCTCGTTTTGACGTCACCGCAGATTCCACCCCAAACCATTAAACCTCCGCCTCCATATTGACTTGATGGATGCAGTTCGGTGCCAAACGTTCACCTACTCTTCGGTACACACGCTGCCGGCCGTCGTTCCCGAAGATGCAAAATCTGCCTACGTCAGAAAACATGACACGTGCCCAGTTCCACCGTTGCCACCGTCGAAGTCGCCTGGCCCATATCCGTCTGTTGAGTCGGTGTTGAGGTGTCAGGAACGCTCCGCGGTAGGGGCGACGTTCTCGGATACCATGTGCCCGCAGTCTCCTGTACACGGTTTGTCGACTTAGCACGTGTCCCAGAGCCGTCCGTGCCGTTAACGTCGCCGTTACGAAGCGGTTCCGAAGGTGAAGTACCCGGATGTGGCGGTCTTCAATAGGCGTGGTCACCCGTGGTCTCCCGGTTCTCGGCCTGTCTGCTGTCCGACCTGTTTGACGCAACCGCTGCATTAACCTGGTGACGGTTATGCGCGCGCATCCTAACCTTCTGGCGTTGTCACGGTGCGTAGCTCCCTGTTGGAGCATTCCTACGGCTCTCTCTCTCTCAATCGCTGTCAAACGTGGCATTTCTTTTGTGTGCTTTTTGTTGCTGTGATCCCAACGTGTCGGGTCCGCAGTTTTATACAGAAGATATGCACGTGCATTTCGTGTTGCGGGACGGAACGTCATTTGGGCAAATTGATCAAATGTTCCCGGTTTTATCGACCGAATACGTTTGGTTTGGAACGTAGGATACGCAAAAGTACCTTTTCAGACGAAAATTAACTCTTCATAATAAAATATTTAGAAAAATGTGTGGTATCGTTTCTTTTGGACATTAGTTTAGTTTGAAGAAAATCTTTCACCGATCGATAATTAGTGTGGAGGCACCTTCGTGGTTGTCTCTAATAAAAAAACGATGTTAACATGGTTACATTAGATCATGAGGGAGGTACTTTGAACAGCGTCACGACGTCAACCCAACTTAAAAAGTGTACTTTATCGCAGGATATCGTCTTAGAATACTGATTCGTGAATATACCCTGCAAGGATAAAATTACATTATCGGTCATTCCATACACTGGTGTGAAAGTCACCTCTCGGTTCTGACTTCATTTCTCCTGAAACGGACCCTCTCTCTAGAAATACTGGATCATGGACAAGACCTTCGTTATCAAACATACTTACCTGTACTATAACGATAAAAACCCCTCTGTTGGGTTGCCCATCGTCAGGTGTGTCCATGGCCTCCACAACCAAAGTGTACTTGTAGCCCGCTGTGTCCAGACTCTCGTAGTCCACCTGGTCAGGCGAACCCCACAGTTCTAGACCGTCATACCGAAACACATTGGCATCATTCCCAGACGTAATGTTCAAAACTATGTCGGAGTTGCTACCAAAGTCTTTGTCGGTGCAGGCCAGCGTGGCATCAATCATTTGGGCACCTACATCAGAAGAATGCATTCTATTTGTTAAGCTTTAAATATCCATATATCATATAGTCTTGCGCTATATAACCCAAGCAAATATATTATTTATTCACGGTAATAACTTAACGGCTTAAGATAAGGAACTGATGTGCGCATTAAAGTTTTTTCCTTCAGGGCTGAAAGCTGAAAGATCGACCATTCATTCTTTGTCCCATACACAGCTTGTGGAGATTTCCCGATCTCTCAACAACACGAGTCACGAGACAGTCTTTATTCAAGACCGCACTCCCAAATAAGAGCAAGGCTCTGCAGGTACAAGCTCTCGTCCCTTGGTAATTTGATGGTAGGACATCTGGAAAAATCTGTTTTGAGTTGGACATTAGTAAATGTATCTCTGATGTACGTCACGGACTCAAATGTTGCTCTGCTGAGCTTACTTACTTTCAGTTCCTGCCTCTTCTAACTGCATGGTAAACACAGACTGACCACAGGCGGGTGTGTTGTCATTAATGTCCTGTACACTGATAGTCACGTCAGCACTAGCCGAGTTACCCGCACTGTCCTCAACGGCCACGGTCACCATAAGGTCAACATTGGTTAACGTCTCCCTGTCAATTCTTGACGCTATGACTAGGTATCCGTCACTATTGATGGTGAAGAGATCAGCGTGTGTGTCTGAAAATAATATCAATGTAGAATGAGAGTTTCAGTAGAGATTACTGAAGGTTTAGGAGATGGTTCAAGGGATTGTAGCAGGGTTAGGAAAGGGTTTCATTATACACAGCTAATATTTAAGAAACTGTTTCAATACGTATTGCTGAAGGTGTAGGAGAGGGTTTCGTTAAATACAACTTAAGGTGCAGGAAAGGATTTCAATACACTCACTAATTACTACTGACGGTGTATGACAGGGTGTCACAAAATACTACTGACGGTGTATGACAGGGTGTCACTAAATACTACTGACGGTGTATGACAGGGTGTCACTAAATACTACTGAGTGAGTGAGTGAGTGAGTATGGCTTTACGCCGCTTTTAGCAATATTCCAGCAATATCACGGCGGGGGACACCAGAAATGGGCTTCACACATTGTACCCATGTCGGGAATCGAACCCGGGCGTGACGAGCGAACGCTTTAACCACCAGGCTACCCGACCGCCCCAAATACTACTGAAAATGTATGACAGGGTGTCACTGAAAACTACTGACGGTGTATGACAGGGTGTCACTAAAAACTACTGACGGACTATGACAGGGTTTCACTAAATACTACTGACGGTGTATGACCGGGTGTCACTAAATACTACTGAAAATGTACGACAGGGTGTCACTAAATACTACTGACGGTGTATGACAGGGTGTCACTAAATATTACTGACAGTGTATGACAGGGTGTCACTAAATACTACTGACGGTGTATGACAGGGTTTCACTAAATACTACTGACGGTGTATGACAGGGTGTCACTAAATACTACTGACGGTGTATGACAGGGTGTCACTAAATATAACTGACGGTGTATGACAGGGTGTCACTAAATATAACTGACGGTGTATGACAGGGTGTCACTAAATACTACTGACGATGTACGACAGGGTGTCACTAAATACTACTGACAGTGTTTGACAGGGTGTCACTAAATACTACTGACGGTGTATGACAGGATGTCACTTAATACTACTGACGGTGTATGACAGGGTGTCACTAAATATAACTGACGGTGTATGACAGGGTGTCACTAAATACTAATGACGGTGTAAGATAGGGTGTTACTAGAAACTAATGTAAGAGATGGTTATATACATACTACTGAGGGTGTAGGAGAAGTTGTCAGGACCATCGGGGTCGGTCACTGTGTACAGACCGTAGATTACAGTTCCCACAGGGTACTCTTCAAACATAGTGTTGTCAGCGGTGATATTTATGGTCGGTGCCTCGTCATTGGTATTTGTCACCTTCACTGTGAGGGCAGAGGTCGTGTTGTGCACGCTGTCACTTGCACTGCGCGTTAGAGATGTCACAAATACAGTATTATTGTACAAAATCTTGTGTATCAACAAAAGTGTGTAACAAATGGTATTTATTGACAAATAAATAATTGAATAGCGGGATCTAATTTCGTCGACCAAAATGTGTAAAAAGAAAACAATTTTTTTGCATTGTGTGAAATTGTTGCTAAAGAGGTCTCCGGATATTTCTTTGCCACACCCACCACAGTCATCTCCGTTACCAAGAATTAACAATGTGCCAGTCTTAGGCTCCCGCCTGTTTTGTCTCAGTTATCAAGATTACACAGTATGTCAATCTTAGACTCCCGTCTGTTTTGTCTCAATTATCAAGAATACACAGTATGTCAATCTTAGACTCCCGTCTGTTTTGTCTCAATTATCAAGAATACACAGTATGTCAATCTTAGACTCCCGTCTGTTTTGTCTCAATTATCAAGAATACACAGTATGTCAATCTTAGACTCCCGCCTGTTTTGTCTCAATTATCAAGAATACACAGTATGTCAATCTTAGACTCCCGCCTGTTTTGTCTCAATTATCAATAATACACAGTATGTCAATCTTAGACTCCCGTCTGTTTTGTCTCAATTATCAAGAATACACAGTATGTCAGTTTTAGACTCCCGTCTGTTTTGTCTCAATTATCAAGAATACACAGTATGTCAATCTTAGACTCCCGTCTGTTTTGTCTCAATTATCAAGAATACACAGTATGTCAATCTTAGACTCCCGCCTGTTTTGTCTCAATTATCAAGAATACACAGTATGTCAATCTTAGACTCCCGTCTGTTTTGTCTCAATTATCAAGAATACACAGTATGTCAGTTTTAGACTCCCGCCTGTTTTGTCTCAATTATCAAGAATACACAGTATGTCAATCTTAGACTCCCGCCTGTTTTGTCTCAATTATCAAGAATACACAGTATGTCAGTTTTAGACTCCCGATGTCCGTCGATCACAGCCACCACTGTCATCTCAACTACTCACGTTATGCCAATGTTGTAGCAAGTGTCAGTTTCGTAATCGATGTTCTGCTTGATCGAGATGGTTGTGCCCGAAAGATCAAAAAAAGAGAGAGAGGCCCCGGTCAAGGTCAAACTAACTGGGTCACCATCCACATCAGTGACAGCAACATTCAGAACAGCAGCTTCAACAGTAGCAGGCTCATCCACTGCAGTCATGTATATGGGGGTGTCAAAAAACGGTGCGTTATCATTAGCAGCGTCAACCTTGACCTTCTGCGTTGCTGTGACTTCCAGCGGTGTCGGCCCACCATCCACAGCCTTGACAACGATGTCGTAGCTACTGACACCTGTGTCGACATCCAGTGTTGAGGCCACCCGAAGTTCCCCAGTCTCGGGTACGATATGGAACGTCCCAGGAGCACTTGCGGAGGTGTCTTTAACAGGAATTATTTTCGTTAACTTTGTACTATGATATACCTGTTCTAAAGCTTACAAACCATGAGGGGGCAAATATGTACCAGTCGCGTCCCCATGTAGCGCAAGGATATTAGTTCCAACCCCAGATTTTGGCTGATTAAGCTCGTTGGTTTCACCAAAGTGTTAAACGTTCCTTCCAAATTAAGTTCAAATGCCAAGAATTAACTGAAAACTGTACAAAGCGGCGTAAAATGCAGACTAATTCACGCACTATCTGCCATGATCTTATATATACTATGCAAAAAAAGTAGGGGATATTATGTATTGAGGTGAAACTGACGGAAAATACACCAGTGTCTGGCAAAGAAAGTGATTTGTGTGGCAAGAATATTTTCGAACAACTATCAAACTACCAAACACAACAGTGTTGGAGACATGCAGCACGTGACCTCGGACAGCACGTGCAGGGGGTGGCATGACAGGTTTACCATTGTCAGACTCGGTTGTGAACAGACGGATATTTCTTTCTTGAAACCAATCATCAGACACACTTTAATCATGAAGGAAGCAACAGCAATGATAATGCGCCGTTTGCAGCGTGCTGAACGTTTACGTGCCATAAGCATGTTGCAGGTGGGCACACGTCTGAATATTCTTGCCCGAACGCTGCATGTTTCTCAATCTGTCATCAGCAGATTGTGGGCCCGATAACGTCGATGATCAACGCTGCTCTGGACGCTCAAGGGCAACAACTCCAACCCAGGACAGATTAGTAAAAATGATGGCATTATAATCGGTTGAAAAATCAGCTGTAAAAAATTATATTTGCGTGCACGACGTCCACGTGTCATAAAAAACAACAACTGCACGTCACTTGAATCTGAGGCGTGGTGTAGGGAACGTTAGCACTGGGAAAATCGAAGTTGGGCTAATGTCATGTTTTCTGACGAATCGAGGTTCACTCTCGACTTCCATGACCGAAGGAATCTAGTATGGAGACGTCCTACTGAGCGTATTATGGAAATTATAGCATGATCGTTTTAGGTGGTAGGTCCATAATGGTATGGGGTGGTATCTCAATAATTAGACGAACCGCGCTTTATATTGTCCAGGGCAGAGTCATAGGTCAATACTATTGAGACAACATCATTGCACCACTCATGGTGACATTTGCACAATTTGCACAAGACGATAATGCACATGCTCATCGTGCCAAGATTGTGACCCAATTCATCCAACAGCAAAACATCCAAGTCATGCAATGGCCAGCACCCAGGCCTGACCTTTCCCCAAATTGAACACGTCTGGGACGTCATTGGCAGACGTATGCGTTAACGACAAAATCCATCAACCTCTAACTGATGACAGAAACAACATGAGTCAAGCTGACATTCGTCGATTCGTCAACGATGGCCAACAAGGGTTGTTTTACCCAATATTAGTGACGTTGCCTGCAAAATGCAAATTTTCGATTTCCCGACCTCTTTAACGACTTAGTGCGCCACCATCTCATCACATCAACCATTAGCACCAATTAGATATACCAAATAGGTCAGAAGATGTGCCTTGAAGAACCCACTACCCCCTACGTTTTTTGCACCGTATAGCTTATATGTATTCAGATATTGAACATGTTCTGTGATCACCATCAATTCTACGTTCTATAAGCTTCGACAGACAATTACACTTTTCAAAGAAAAAGACTTACATACATCGTGTGCATATATATCGCAGCTGTTTTGTTGATATTATGATATGACAGTATGGGACTCACTTTTTTCTGTTTATATACGCGACTCACCTGACGTGATTGAGACGATTTCATATTTGACAACACCATCAATCCCATCGTCAGCATCTGCGGCGGCGTATGTGACAAGGCTTGTACCTGGAACGGCATCTTCACTTACAGTCACGTCAGGGAATTTGCCGCCCGTGGGAGAAGGAGACGTCCACGTCGGAGCATGTTCATTCTTGCCGGTTACCTTGTCAAAGAGATTAATACAATTGCGAACAACGGGTACACCTGCGTCCCTGTGTGTATATTAGTGTGTCTTTGCGTATTTCCGTACAAACACATTTTCTTTTTCAATTATATGTTTTTAGATTGGTTTAAAGTACACGTTCAGGGTATCATGCATGGCTAAAATCTTCCACACTTAAACTGCATGTGTTCACTACAGAAAGGGTTATTTTTACCTCAGCAACGATGGTTATACGTCCGGTGTTAGCTGGGCCTTCAGACGGTACGTCGTAGACATCAACGCTGAGATAGTAGGTGTAATTAGTATTGCGAAGGGCTTCGTAGTCTATCATACTTGTGTCCGCAAAGATTTGGAATTGTGTACTTGAGAACACCCCAGCGCTGTTTCCATCGGATATATTTGCGCTGACTTGAGCGTTGTCTCCGCTGTCGGCGTCGCTGCATGCCATATCTAGGACCTTCACATCTAGAAGGAACATCGTGAACAACTGATACAATGATCTGTACATGCATTATCTAAAGCTGATATAGAAATAGGCAGTTGTCGTGAGTATGAATTTAACGAAAGCATCATCGCTTTTCTCCAGACCATTTTAAATCAAAACCCAACCCCACCCCCAAATGCTGTACCTATTCAATATCCAGAAGCCTATTGTAATGGCGCTATAACATTAAGGCTATGGAACCCTGATAAGCTGCAGTTTATATCAGTGAGCAGAAATATATAGTTATACGTCGTGCGTAAAACCTACTGTCTGTTCCCGCCTCTTCCACGTGTACGAAATAGACGTCAGCATCACATGATGGGATGTTGTCGTTAATGTCGGTTACTGTAATGTTCAAGTCGCTGCTTGTCGTCTGTCCTCCGGGATCAGTAACATTAAGGGTGAAGGTCAAGGTGCTGGCTCCGAGACTCTCTCTATCCACGCGAGATTTTACTTGTAGTACACCGTCAGAGTTGACCTTGAAAAACGCTTCGTCTGTACCTGAAACAGTTAACAGTGACAATAATACCATTGTGACACTGACGGTAGAGAGACTTTGCTTGACGATCACCCACCTGAAACTGTGTAAGTAAATGTTTGACTGTCTGGGTCCTCCAAAACGAAGAAGCCTCCCAGCTTGTAGTCGACTGGCTGTTCCTCGAGCATAGTAAGATCACTGTTGATAGTTAGCGTTGGAACTGTGTCATCAACGTCAATTATTTCCATGTTAAAGGATGCGTTGGTTATTTCGGATCCGTCAAACACACTGCAAGGTGGTAGAGAAATAAAGATTCACGAGTAGACTTCATGAAAAGAACCTTGAATGTCATACATTATATATATGCCAAACCGAACATGGCTATAACGTTTTCGAAGGACGAGTGCTACCGTTCAGTAACTTTTGATCTAATCTGTTATAAAGCGCGAGAGCATAACACTGATACTTAACTAATGAGTGACATTCTTTATCGCGACGTATGTGCCTGTACGGATGCCCACAGCGCTGTTATGAGAACAAATCATACATTGTGATAGCAGTTTTGAAATAGGGATATCATTCGGTTTCATTTGAATATGGATAGACACAGTCCTTTGATAGGTGTTGTGGCAAGGAGTTACAGCAGGAGTAGGTCAGAATGATCGACAGCCAAATCTTAAAAGCGTCACGATTGTACCGAACATCAGAACTGAAAGGCTTGGATGACTGGTGCCATGTGAGAGAGCTGTGGGGTGAGAGAGACAAAACAAGTATTCTGTATGTACAGTATTCTGTATGTATTGTAGTTTTGAAAAAGCTTCTTCCGATGCGCCAGACACACTACTAATGGATATTTCTCTGGGGATATATAACCTTTGGCAATGACACTCGTGATGACATTAAACATGTTATTGAGTGCGTGTAAGTGTTTCATCTAAACAGGTCAATGGTATATGCACTTACGCTAATACTACGGAATAGTAGATCTGGGCTTCATAGTCGAAGGTAGCGTTAGTTCTAATTGTGTCATCAGTGTAGTCAATAGTATACTTGTTTGAATCTGAGCTCAGTTCTGCCCATAGTAGAGTGTCGTTTTCAAGGTCGGTTCCTGTAAATGCTAAGACGCTGGAACCGATGGCGGAGTCCTCGCTTAAACTAGTCACTGTAAGACCGTCAGGGTTAGGATTGCTGATCTCAGGTGGATTGTCTAAAACAAAAAATATGTAGGTTTATGGCGTTCTATTTTCAAGAAGCTTTTGCAAAGGAATATTTTAATCAATCAATAGAAACTTTTAATGTTCATTATATAAGTGTGTGGAATGTGTTTAACCTCGCTTTGAAAACTGTATGATTACATGTACGTCATGGCTTACGCTATGAGGGGAGAGTCCATTTTTCAACGTCTTTCATACAACCAATCAGACCGTATTTCACAGTGGATATTATTCCACTAATTATCCGTTCATGCTTTTGATTGGATAGTTAAGCACAAGCGCAATGTTTACCTATATGAAACTGCCAGTTGACGTACACGTTGTCCACATTGACAGATATCTTTGCGTACCGCAGATTGAACACGCCGTCGTTGTTGAGGTTATAGTTCATGTACATGAAAGCGTTTTCCCCGATGATGTTGTCATGGCCGACCTGGAAGCCACCCTGATTGTCCCACTGCGCCCAGAACACCTTGTAGGCGTTACAGTCCAGGTGGGAGGCGATTTCATAGCCACCAGGAGAGCAACCAGTGCTGTCGCAGTGCGTGTTTGCGAACATGATGGAGTAGGTGTTGTCGGCGTCGCCGAGACGCAGATATACGTAGCTTCCCGAGTCAACATATTGATAGAATACAAGATCTGCTCCTTTGCAACCAAGGACGGCAAATATCAAGGAGGTCTTTCCGATGATCGTTACATCGAGATTGGTCAGTTCATACCAAGCACTACTGTCGACTGTGACACCGGACCAACGATCTTTCGGATGAAACAAATGGTAAATGTGGTTATGATTCATCATATAATGGATAGTGTGATCTATATGAACATACCCGATACATATGCAAATGTGGTAAACTGGCAGGAATTACTTTTAATAAGATAAATAGGTATACTATCTAAATAAACTATTGCCTAAAGGAAAAGATATGTTTAGATTTGTGTTTCAATATATATCAGTTGACACTAAGATACATGGGGCGGTTCGCTACATCATTGTGTTCATACGCAATTTCTAAGGTAACTTCAGTTAGTGAAATTAATGCATAAATACCGAATATTTTAAACATTGCGTGAGAGAGTATTACCATCGTGTGTAAAAAGTCTCGCATAGTACGATTTGTGTTCCCAAAATATTATATTTATGATCCGACAAGACGGTGAATTATCACTTATATATATTCACATATGTTAACCATTTTGTGAGAGTTCAGGTATTGGTGGAACTTACAGCTGTTGGTGTTCTGGAAGCAGATCAGCGCAAGTATGAGCAGGATTATATGTCTAACCGCCATACTGTCTCCATCAATGCTTCGACCTAAATGATATACACAAAGGTTGGATATAGGTGGAGTAGAGGTGGATATATTTACGAGTTAACCAATAATTGAATCTGAAGATAATCTAAAATTTACGGATATTACGTACAGACAGAACGTTGATGCCAAAACAATATACAACTGTATCAGATCTAGGTACTAACTGAAATTGTTGCAATGACATCATAGCCAATATACTCGTAAAATAACAGACAAATTATTTTGGGGATGGGGGTGGCACAGTTATTCGCCGTGCAAATATGCGACCCTTAATCGTGCAATATGTATGCTACTATCGTGATATCATTGCAATATATATACGTACCGCTATTGAAATAGCATTGCGATTGTTTGAATGATATTTTTTCTCTACATTTCCTTGCATTATTCAACATGATATGTCAACTTAAGTCATAACTTCTTGTCTATCCACCATTCACTTTCAACATCTTCACAATTACACAGTTTACGAAATATAATCTTTGCAAAGAAAATCTCTACAATTTGCATTTTAGAATTTCCCTCAATAATTTGCATTTAAGAATTTCTCACAGAAGCTATTTCCTGAGATCAGTACAACACACATGCACACGCCCATGTAAAATGTTCCGCGACCTTATTGGAAAATAGATCTATCACGCCTGTCGCAGATGTGATGGTGATTTGTTGATAAGACTAATACATGTAAATGGAGATAGCTAAAAACCCAACAAAGACAAATGATAAGTTTTTAAACCATTATTCCTACCAGGCCTGAATTAATGTGGGAGATCTTTGAGGTATATTATAAACAATGTGGGAGACAAATTGCATCCTTGTCTTACCTCAGTGTTCGATTTAAAGGATTTTCAAATGCCCTTATCAGTTTACACCTTATATGAAATAACAATATATAGTCATGATATTATTTCAACACATTTCCTGAGATTTTATTTGACAGTAACTTTGCTCAGAGTAATGATCTGCCAACTGAAGCAAATCTACAAATATACAAGACAAGTCTTTTAGGACAAATACATTATCTGTTTGGTAGCCCTTTCTAAATCCTGACTGACAATTTTTCCATGAGATCCATTATTTTTTTTATAAATAACCTTGCAAAACAGTTTACCAAAGCAGCTGCTTAGTGTAATCCCCCTACAGCTGTTAGAGTCAATCTGATCACATTTCTTATGTAATTGGGCGATAAACCGAGGTTGATGAATTATGTAGAATGTGTGGAGAAGATATGTTTGTTGGGTTATAGAATTGTAAATTTTCCTGAATCGGCTTGTTAGCTCTTCGGGATCAGGATAAACATATTCTATTGAGATGAAGCTGTAAGGTCTTTTTTCAAAGTTTCGACAATTGGTTACGTTCTTGTTTTAAAAGGTTTCCAGTTGTTCCAGCTGATGGTGTTTTCACACACGTTTTTGAAATTCCTTTTTTGCAATAAGAGCTCTCCATTAATTGAAAAATCATTTACTATATTGAACTCGTGAAATATACTCCTCCATATTACGTTAGCTATGGAATATATATGTGAAGTGTATGGATTTATGTTGCGATTAAATACTACAATTTTGTGTGTTAGGATTGATTAATTATCCTATGTATGATGTTATATATTTCCTACAACTTAAATTTTAACAACCTTTGAGACCTGCTCACACCCGTCACAAGCAGTGTATTTGCTGTGGTTTTAGAGTCAAATAGAGCGCAGCAGTTTATTGCTTACCACTGGCAAGCAACATGAATGTACAACACGACAGACACGAGCATTCCACATGGGCTGTACACAACTAACAAATTTTTCTTTCTGCGTGAAAAGGGATATTTTCATATCCTTTTTTATATATCAGATTCCTCACTTTTGTACCCCAATTAATCATTCCATCATGTTGATGAAGGTATGTAAAAGAATCATATACCTTTGTGCTAGCTGTGTTCACCTTAACTCCGAAGACGTTCTTTCAAGAATTCATATGGCCCTTTTCAAGATCGTTCAAACCGTAGAAGTGATATACTTCTGCTCGAAATATTACTGATATGGTAGCAAGTATCTAAAAAATGTTATAAAGTTTGCAATTAAAAGTTACTTTACATTTCTGAAAATGCCTATTGAAATCATTTTAGCTTGTGCTAAACACAAGAAACTGACGTTGCTCTATGTCACGATGAATTGATGATTGTCATTTTTCGTAAGGTAATATCTTAGGATGAAAAGGTCATTTTACAAATTTTAGTGTAGAAATTGTAGCAAGGCTGTAACTTAACATTAATGTTGTGTTGTTATGAACAGGGTAAACAACTGACATGACACTACATGGGTTTACAATATCGAATTTCGCTGAAAAAGTGAAACAATAAGACTTCCATTTCGTATGTCTGTCATTTTTGACACTCTCAAAATCTTGAGAAAAACATTTCTCAATAAGTCCCTCTACGAAAACATGTAAAACTTACCTGAACTGCAGAAGGTCTATAGTTCGATAAGGAGTGCGTAATAACATAATATTTCTTCTGCTAAAACCCTGCTGAGATATCAGGTTCTACATTTATCACTAAAATCGGCATTTTGTGAAGAAGCGAGCCTTCTATAAGCCACCTTGGTTATGGTATGTGTTCTATCTGATAGGCAGTAAAACTTTAGGCGTATCTGGATTAGAATGTCACGCATGTACATAGAAACAGACGCACATGGGCAGATAGTTTAGCGTGCAGAAATAGATACAGACAAAGAACTAGATACAAACTGAACTTCATTGTGTTAATCATATAATTATAGGATACTACGTCATGGTTAAATGAATGTACGATTTTGTAAAATCACTGTGCACTATTATGACAACGAACACTCCATGACGACAAATGGATATTGATATAATGTAATATGATAGCATATATGAAGGAAGCATGTTTTGTTTTTCTTTTCTTAATTATGAACATTTTACATGCAAAGCGAGTATTTTTGCTACAGAGCAATCAACAACATTACTGCTTTACCATCGGTCTGTAAAAAATCATTTCTGGTCCAGATAAACCAGTCACTGATGTCAACACGCACATGAAAACTTTTAGCCAGATCAAATATGATACACTTGATCATCGGGCACAGTTTAGATTTCCAACTGTCACGGTGAAATGTGGCTTGAAACATTTACAATAAACGGCGTCACATTTTTACAATTGACCTTTTCATGGAGTTTTCACACCTCCTCACTGACACACACTCTTCAATGGACATTATATGAGTGGCGTGTGCTACAGGCAGAGTTGGACATGCTTTCCCATTTCGAAAACATTTCGGCGCTGACCTATAGATACGGCGCCTCCGAGTTAAAGATCTAATGTTGTAGTCATGTAAGATTTGTAATTTGATTTTACAATTGAAGAAAAGAGACCCACAGGCCTAGGGTATCAGGATTTGACTGAACACACACTTTGACGAGGAGTTATTACAAAATTCACATTCAAACAAAGCATTAATATTCTAAAACATTAAGCTGGACGAGTCAACCAACGCTACGTGTCGTTCTATTTTAAGTGCTCATTAATGATGATACTAGTACAGGTTATACTCGTGATCATTGTGCTATATAGTTGTTACATAAGCACATGTACACTATTAACTAACGTGTCGAGCTACACTCGCAACTCTTCAAGATGACAACTCTATTAATGATCTGGTACTTAAATTATCAATCCTTTATGTCTAGATGTTATGCTGGACGTGCCTATTCCTACTTTTAGGAATATATAAATTTCCTGTAAACACTGGATCTAGTAGTTCGCGCTCATCTGAGAAACGACAGTAACATAAACAGTGAACATGGTCCATCAACAGCGTGAAACCTGTCAGTTTACCTCCAGTATGATCGTATGAGAAATAGCATCCGGGCAAACTACTACCAGTACTACAAGCGTAAATTTGTCTTAACCTGTCCCATCATATCTTTGAAATTATTTCAACAAGAATACCAAGAGTTATTAATTGGCAATTATAAACTCAACAGCATCTAATGCAAATTGAGGATAATTGACGAAAATGACGAATTGGGTTTCTGCTCGATGCAACGTATCCCGGAACACTTGTGGAATCAACTAAGTGAAGAGAAGTTGTCTCAGTGGTGTGAGCGTCACACTAGCTCGTCTAGAACCTGGGCAGGATAGTTCATTAAGGAACAGGGAGAAGAATCTCGTCTAGAAACAGGACAATTTCATAGATATATCGTCTAGGGTCAGGGCAAGTAAGCTTTCCAAGGGACAGGACAAGGTAGTTTTCATAGAGACATGGCAAGGAAGGTTTCCTGGGGAAAGGACAAGAAAGCTATCCTAGAGACAGGGCAAAAAAGCTTTCTTAGGGCCAGGGCAAGAACGCTTTCCCAGGGACAGAGCAAGGAAGGTTTCCCAGCGACAGAGAAGGGAGCTTTCTTAGGGACAGGGCAAAGTAACTCGTCTAGGGACAGGAAAGGGAGCTTGTCGAGGCACAGGAAAAGGTATCTCGTCTTGGGCCAGGGCAGGGTACATTGTGTAGGGACAGAACAAGGTAGTTCGTCTTGGGACAAGGCAAGGTAGCTTGTGTAGGAACGGGACACGGAATCTTTCCTAGGGAAAGGACAGGGAATTTTTCCCAGGGACAGATCGAGGAAGCTTTCCTTGGGACAGGGCAAGATAGCTCGTGGACTTTTTAAGTCAGTTAACTCTCTTGCCTCGGGATGATGGAAGACAGGATAGGGTAGGTCGTGTAGGGACAGGACAGGGTAGCTTGTTTAGGGGCAGGACAAGGTAGCTCGATTGAGGGACAGGGCGAGGTAGCTTGTTTAGGAACAGTGTGATGTTCTGAGAACAGGACAAGGTAGTTCGTCTGAGGACAGGACAAGATACCTCGCCTAGGGACAGGACAAGGAAGCACGGATATAGACAGGGCAAGGTAGTTCGTCGAGGGACAGGGCATATAGCTTGTCTAGGGACAGAAAAGGGTAGCTCGATTGATGACAGGGCGAGGTAGCTTATTTGGAAATAGTGCAATGTAGCTTGTCTCGGGACTGGACAGGATAGCTCGTCTAAGTCTAAACACGGGACAAGGTAGATCGTGTAGGGTCAGGACCATCATCCCGAGCCAAGAAGGTTAACAGTAACATTTTTGCTCGACTAACGGGTCTATGCATAGTACAATCAAAATCGCGCAACGAAATGGAAATCCGGTTCGTAAACTGTCGTGCAAATTTCGGTCGATTGCAGGTTTTGGAAAGGATGTGCAACTCGTTGCCAACATATATTTTCCAAATCTTTTCATGTTTTTAATCAAGGTGCTCACGTGATTTGATGCACTTCGCGATGTAAGACCAATTTTATCACAATATAGATCTTGATGATAGATAAGATCGTCTTGACTGGGCGCCGCCATTTTAAGCAAATGCAAGTGATACGAGAGGTGGAATCTGATCGGTCCATAGGAGAGGCTTAGAAGGGACATAACTAGAAACTGGTGGCGCTATGATCGAACCCAGGAATTCAAGCCTCAAGTTCGGCAAGGGTGGGGACTGGACTTTTAAAGTCAGTTAACTCTCTTGCCTCGGGATGATGGTAGATAGGATAGGGTAGGTCGTGTAGGGACAGGTCAAGGTAGGTCGTGTAGGGACAGGTCAAGGTAGGTCGTGTAGGGACAGGTCAAGGTAGGTCGTGTAGGGACAGGTCAAGGTAGGTCGTGTAGGGACAGGGCAGGGTAGGTCGTGTAGAGACAGGGCAGGGTAGGTCGTGTAGAGACTGGGCAGGGTAGGTCGTGTAGGGACAGGGCAGGGTAGATCGTGTAGAGACAGGGCAGGGTAGGTCGTCTAGGGACAGGGCAAGGTAGGTCGTCTAGGGACAGTGCAGGGTAGGTCGTGTAGAGACAGGGCAGGGTAGGTCGTGTAGAGACAGGGCAGGGTAGGTCGTGTAGAGACTGGGCAGGGTAGGTCGTGTAGGGACAGGGCAGGGTAGATCGTGTAGAGACAGGGCAGGGAAGGTCGTCTAGGGACATGGCAAGGTAGGTCGTCTAGGGACAGTGCAGGGTAGGTCGTGTAGAGACAGGGCAGGGTAGGTCGTGTAGAGACAGGGCAGGGTAGGTCGTGTAGAGACAGGGCAGGGTAGGTCGTGTAGGGACCAGGCAGGGTAGGTCGTGTAGGGACATGGCAAGGTAGGTCGTGTAGAGACAGGGCAGGGTAGGTCGTGTAGGGACAGGTCAAGGTAGGTCGTGTAGGGACAGGTCAAGTTAGGTCGCTATCGAATACTGCTGGACAGGGTAGCTCGTGCATGGACAGGGCAAGGTAGGTGGTGTAGGGACTGGGCAATGTAGCCAGTCGAGGTTTATGGCAGGGTAGATCGTCTAGAAACCGGAAGGTAGCTGGCGTAAAATGGCTTGTTTAGAATCAACTAGTGGTAGCTCGTTTATGAACAGTGCAATGTAGATCATCTGGGATTTTATAAATAAATTGTCTTCAAAAATTCTTGTAAACCTTAATTATGCTTCAGACAGTTTAAAAAAAGGAAGAAATTGTCTGCCACTAAACTTTTATTGCTACAAGGTGTTTCTCTTTAAAAATATTCATGGTCTCGGTTTTAATTAAAACATAGCTTGTTTTGCAGATGTCGCTGAAACATATCTAACCTCCAGAGAAAATCCCAGTTGCTACAGTTTGATAACATTAGTGGTGGAAACAACGTTGCAACCTTTACGACAGAAAACACCTCAACACGATAACCAGCCACACGTAACTTCGGCCAGGTTTAAATGAGTTAGCTTGGCCCCACAATGCATGTTTCGAGAACCGTGAATAAACTGAAGCAAATTGATACATAACCTTAAATATAAATCCTCCGTATTGTTTCATGGGGTAGTGGATAATCACACCGAACGGATCAATAAATGTGACTTAGTTAACCTTAAACTACTCATTTTAGTGGTGTTGTTATTATGTTTAAAAACATACTTTGTCTCTTAACGTAAGTCTAGAGGCAATATGAAGGGATTAATATAGTGGGCTAAGATAATGTAGCTTGTTTTGGCCAAAGCCAAGAGACGACTACAACAATGGTTAGTTGGCACTTGTTTTGTTCCTCCTCCATCGTGCTTACATTCTTTACTGAAACCCCGCAGTCATATGTTATCCTTAATATAATAATCATGTTTGTTGTTCTCTGGTGAATATGAACATCAGTCATCAACAATTTTTATGCTTTCCATAACACACTTTCCATGAACCTATATCTTGCTGGCGTTCATTATTTACAAAAGTGACTCGGAAGGAATTATACAGGTTGCTTCACAAGGCCCCGTAAAACAATAGGATGACATTACTTGAGGTTAATAACTCATCAAAGTAGATGGTATCCCAATAGCCATCAGATGCTGTGTAAAATGGGTGTTATGCACGTCAACGAAATGAATCTGTGTAAAGATACAATAACATAAACATGTACAATATCAAGGATGCTTCTCGTATTCAAGAAACAGTGTAGTTTCAAAATTTCATGAGGTCACACAAAAATGAGTATCAACAGAGAATCGCTTTTGTTACAGGTATCAATTCTATAGTATTAGATATATATTTATATGAATAGAAGAAATGTTGGAATTAC